CTGCAAACCCCGAAGTTAATGTCCTCTAATAAACATGAGTCCGGATGACAACTCTTCAAAATCTATTACATACTAGTAGCTCTGGTTTTGCCCCATTTGCATATTAAGCAGATAGTAGATTCTAGGCAGAAATGTAAACAGTATTATACACTTCAGTTCATGCCAGAAGAGAAATCATTTGATAGCACTATTATAGCCAAGAACAGAAGTAGCTACACAATCCCCAGCCAGGAACCAGGTGCCAAAATTAATTCACGTAGGAGTCAACTGGGTTGCCATGTTATTGAGAAGTCCGCCGGCTCTAGGGGAAATGCAGGTGAAAATCCTGGGGAGCTCAGGTTACTAGATACTTGAGGGATACCATTCAGTTCTGGGCTGGCCAGTTATCTTTATGAGAAGAAGCACTGCGTGATGGACAAGTGTGTTTTTACCCTGCCAGCCAGCTCGCAAGCATGTGCAGAAGTGCCATGAAAAGAGCAGGAGGCCGTTCAGTAACATAAGCCCTGCACGTGACTTGAATTTAGCAGGCTTACTCTTCAAATGTGTAAGTGACACACGGCTTGGTGGGTCATCTAATGCACTGGATGACAGCACCAGGATTCCAAAAGATCTAAACAGGGGGAACTGATGAGCTACAATTCAGAAGATTAAATTTAATAGGGATAAATGTAAATTCCTGTACTGGGATTCAAAAAAAAGAAGTTACTACCTCCTGTCTTACTCCCATTCGATTCATTTTTCATGCTGCAGCCTGGGTAATCTTTTTAAAAAACAAATCTGATCATGTCACTTGCTTGCTGAAAATCCCTTAACAGCATCCTGTTACCCTCAGAATAAAGACAAAACTCATTATGGGGTTTCTGATATCCTCCATGACGGGCTCCCTCCTCTTTCCTCCCCCTGGTCTTGCACTAGTCTCCCTCTCATGCCAAGCACTCCAGCTGTATGGAAGATCTTTGGGTTCCACGTGTGGAACCTGTTTGGGGGCTTTCATGTTTCCTCTGTCCAAACATGATCTTCACACGTCCCTATGTAACTCCAGCTCTCAAAGTCATCAGAAGGGCCCAGTCCATAAGCTAGGTGCAGCCTCTTCGTGACCTGTTTACAAAGCCCCCTAATCAGCCTTCTTTCATTTAACAGGTGTTTATTGAGCATCTACTTTGTGCCAGGCACTGTTCCAGACCCTGGGAACAAATTGGTGAACAAAGCCCATGTCTACATGGAGCTTAGGTTCTAATGGGGAAGATGGCAGGCAACGATGAGCACTTTGTCACAAAGTGAAGCAGGGGGAGGAGATAATGATAGCAAATTTGGATGGGAAGGTCCTACCTTAGGTAAGGTGGCCAGGGAGGAGCCCTGATGATGTGATATCTGTGGAGATGTGAATGAACGGTGGCAGTGAGCCATGGGGCTGTCTGGGAGAATAGCACCCCAATCGGTGTAGAAGAGTATGTCCCAAAGCTCTGAAGAGTAGCGTGCTTTCTGGGTTTGGGAAACTGCTGTGAGGCCAGAACAAGTTTATGGAAGGAAGCTGGTCAAGGGGACAGCTGTGCAGAATGAGTTGCGAATGACCCCTGGGGACCAGCTCAGACTGGGCCTGAAGGCTGTAAGCTTTTAGATTTTCTTCTAAATGTGATTGGAAGCTAGTAGGAGGCTTTGAGCAAGGTACTGTCATGATTAAGATTTTTGCTTTGTTTTTTTGTTTCAAAAGAATGACACTGGCTTCTGTGCAGATAATAATCTGTAGGGAGTAAGTACAGAATCCCAAAGTTCAGTCCAGGGGTTAGTACCTCTGTAAAGGTGAGAGCTGAAGGTAGCTTTGTTGGGGAAGGTTTGCTAACGCTCCTCACACCGTTCACGATTAGCTGTGTGACAGAAACCCTGATGGTACAGGGCTCAAGACTGTCGTGTTCTTTTCCGTAATCCCCGTGCCCAGCATGATGCCTGGCACAGAATTGGCTCTTCACAGGTATTCATTGGACAAAGCTCTGGCTTAACAGGAGTTAATATAAAGAGGACTCCAGGATTTCAGTTGACTGGACCCTTGATGAGCCAACAACAGTGCAGTTTGGCTGCCAAAACAGCTAATGCTGTCTTTTTCCCTTTCCCACTACTGACACCTGAACAATAGTCTGCACCTCTCCTTGGTAACAATTTCCAGGCGTGTGAGCTCCAGACGACTTATGACAACTCTATTTTCTACTTCTGAGAGTATAAACAACCCCTTAAAAGAGACATCGTGTGCTCTTTCACTTATTTTGTTAGGAAATGCTACTTTTAGTAGGTAGTGGTGACTAGTAAAATATAGGGTTGGCAGAAGTAATCCCTGCTTGAGTGTGGTTGATAGGGTAATAATGTGGGTGTAATCATTTAAGTTTTAATTTGAACATTTCACCTAAAATGTCATATGGTGTGCTTGAGTGTGATGTTGTCATGTTACAGAATTATGTTACATGCCTAGGATTTTGTAATAAAAAAGGGGCATTATTTGTGCCAGACCCTGTATACAGTTCCTGATCATAAAGTTATTAATAGAATCATACGTCTCAGACTCACGTAGGACAAGGAATTTGGGGTTGGAAGTCAGGGACCCTGCAGATCCCTGCTGTCCCACCTGCTAACTTTATGACGTAACCCGACTGGGCCTCAGTTACCTGTTCTGTAAAGTGAAGGTTGCAGGGCCCAACTCACAGAGCTTTTGTAAGGATTATGCTAGACAACAAGTGTTAAAAGGCTTAGCATGATTTCTGACATATATGAGTTGGTAACAGGTTTTAGTTTTCTTTCTCCTCTTCTCTCTTAAAGATAGAGTCACTGTGTGGAAATGCACCTTGGAAATAGTGGAATTAGAGGTGTGTTGTTTCACTTGCTAATAGAGAATAATGGCTGTTTGCCGTGTGGCTTACAGGATAGCCTGAACCCTTGTTCTTCCTATGGTTTAATCAGTATCAATTTCTTGCTGATAACAAAAAGGTGTGTCAAGGGTCTAGGCCACATGGGAGTTTTCATGGTCTGAGTAGTAGAAACAGTCCAAACCCGGTCGATCCCAAGAACACACAGAAAGCAGATTCCCAGGAGGGGTCTCGCACAGCAGTCTTTTTGTTGTCATACAAAAAGGCCAGAGACTCTATACAATTAATCTTCAAGGCCCTTTGTAATCAGTGACTGTTTACCATGGAAAGACGAATAAAATACTATCTTTGTCTTTGAAGTTGCACACAAATCAACATAATACAGAGTAGAAAGTTATATGTTTGCTTGGATGCAAAACCAAAGTGTTCTGGGGGAAACAGAGATGGAGAGAATATCCTGCAAAGAGGAGGTTATAATGGGGAGCTGGGCCCAGGAGGAGTAAGAATGTTTATATGTGTGAGGTTTGTGGCATTTCCAATTAAAGATAAAGGCAACTGGAAAAAACCAGGAATCACTTTATATGACTTCAGTATAGAGGAAAATATAATGAGAGAGGTAATAATGGTTGAAACCTGAATATAAGGCTAGGGAGACTATTATTTGCTAGGCAGTTAAATTTCGAGGACTTTGGTTAGGTTAGAAAAATGTTGAAAGTGGTGTGTAGCATGGGCTAACCTGGGTAGAGTAAATGAGATGTATAGTAGAATTGGGGAGGGGGAGAGGTAGAGAGCAAGTTGGAAGCTGTCTGCAAAGGTCAGCCATGCAGCAGAAAAGCCTCGGGTCCGGGTAGCGGGACTCGGAAGGAAGACTTGTGACTGTTGCCCGTGAGTACTGCGTGTGTGCTATCAGGACAGGGAAAGAGCCCTGAGTCTGGACTTGATTTCCTCTCAGTTCACCAGCTCAGCTGCATTCTGTATGTGGCCCCCTATTCCCAATTTTTTTAATCGCCTACTCTTAGCCTTCATGTCATGGATGCTTATGCAGGAGAGAAGCAGGCCATGGGACTTCCAAAGAGTATTGCCCTTAGTCACTAATCACATTCTTAGCTTAGTGTTCTCCCCATTATACTTTGCATGAGAGTTATCCAATAGTTTTAGGACCATTGGTTCTGTGATTTAGGAGGCTGTGGTTTTAAGGACAAAGAGGTTTCAATTTACTAAATAGTGTAGTTATTTAGCAACTTATTCCAGAGAAATTAAATAACACCATAGCATGAAACTTGCTATAAGATTTATATCACATTTTTAAAATTCCTTTTTATTTATAAAGATTTTATGTATTTATTTTTAGAGAGAGGGGAAGGAAAAGAGAAAAAGGAGAGAGACATCAATGTGTGGTTGCCTCTCACATGCCCCCAACCAGGGACCCGGCCCATAGCCCAGGCATGTGCCCTGACTGGGAATCAAACCCATGCCACTGTGGTTCCCAGGCTGGCACTCAATCCACTGAGCCACACCAGCCAGGGCTTACATCACATTTTTAACTATCTAAGTTGAGGCAATGGGGTTGAGAGTCCAGGGAAAGCAAAGTGGTTGGAATGGGCAGTCCCAGAGAAGAAAGAAGTGCCAAGAGCGTGGACTCCAGAAATAGCTGGAGAACCTCCCGCATGTAGCCCAGAGCACACAGGGCAGTAGACTCCCTGGGCCGGGAGGACCCTTCGCAGGAGGGTCGAGGGAGCAGTACTCAGAGTTCACACGGTTTCCGATTCTTTGGAGAAAGATAGTGTTTACTGAATGGATTCAAAACAAATTAATTAATGAATTTATAAAGAAATGCTTGGATTTTCCCAATACTCTTTAATGAGTTAAAGACAATGGCATAAGAACATATGAAAAGTATTGGATTTTTCTAGCTTGAGATTTAAGCTCCCCCAGGCTTCACGTAGAAAGAAGGGATGTTACAGAGGTGACGGAGACGTTGGAACATAGGAGTAGTTGGGTAACCGCGAGGGAGCAGGTCCTCATTTCTTCCCGTGGCACCCTAGGCATCATTCAGAAGAAACTTCAGCTGCTGAGTCCCCACCAGCTGACTGCCAGCCAGCCACACAGCCAGGGAGCAGAACAGTGCTTTGAGGAAGCTTGCTGAGAGAGGCAGCAGCAAGATATGCATTAGCACCATTATCTTGTACTAATTCCCTAACCAATTTTTCAGAAAAAAACCTTGTTTATGTTTTTCGCTCTTTTGTTTTCAAGAAATGGAATAATTTTTCAACTCATAAAAATGCATAGTGCTGATGCAGAAAAAGTCTCCCTAAAGAGAAACAGTGTGCTAAAAAATCATCAATATAAGAAAACACTATAAATCAATGCACTAATAGTTCATGGTTGCTAAGGACAGAGCTTAATTTACAAGTTGAAACAGGTTTGCCATCCTTAAAAATTCTGGAAATCAATCAAAGATACAGCAATTGATCTGCAAAAAGAGAATAACATGATTTTAAATATTGGCAACTACATCAATTTTTTGAAGTTATGAGGGAACAAGTCTTAGAAAACACTTTATTAACCATTAAGATATTATTTGATATTTAGTTTCCTAGCAAACTATTCAAAGAGAAGTACTTGTGGCCTCATTAGAAGATACATTTGTGCTGTGCCAAACATCACCTTCATAACTGCAGTCTCTATTATGTCAAAGATATGGAAATCAAAACTTAAATGAAATAGCACTGTCTGTGTAAAAGGCAAGCATTGCATCATATTGTAGAGTGCTGCTTTACATCAAAGTACCTGAATATGAAGTAGTGAGAATCGGAACACATCTGCATATTCCCCATTCATGACATAGGGTTGGCATTCTCAGAGAGAATAAGTGTAGCTAATGGCAATCTTCATCTGAAGAGATTTGTGCATGTTAGCAATATACCCTCTCTTTCAGCCTAAGAAGAGCATATGGGGCCCATTAACTCACCAAATCTGCCACTGTTCTGCAAATTTTTATTAAGCAAGTACAGTTCCTAATAGTCACTTATATTATACAGTTCATAGCAAATGCTATCAATAAGCAAGGGGATTATTTCACCCTAGTGAGAATGTATTTGAAGTGTATAAGAAGGCTTCACAAAAGAATAAAACACTTTAAGTGATCACTGTATTAATATAAATGTACCCTACTGGGAAGCCAACGTGTTTAAGTATTACCTGCACTTTGACGTTTGCTGCTAACAAGTTCTCAGTGTGCCATAGTGTTCACAGGTTTTTCTCTCCATATTTTCTTTATGGTTTCTCTTCCATACAGTGAACCTGGCTGAACTTAAAAGGCTGTATGTGTTTATCCATGCTTTTGAAAAAGGTGCCATTGGTTTTGAGCAATTCTAATTAGTTCAAAGTTCTACAACCAGGATAAGTAGAAACACAGGCAGACTGGCCGCCATATTTTCCAAGCACATCCTCCTGAAGCAGAGGGCGGACGTGATGTTAACAACCATCCACACCAGAGGGTGTTCTTCTCATGGCCGTCTTTACACCTGACAGTAATCAGATCAGGTGGTGTCCATCAGCATTGAGGTGAATGCCAGGAAGCATGAGCTTAGGGTAGAAATCTCGTTATCTAAATAAATCCAAAGATACCTCATGAGGGACAAGTTCATGGTATTTAAATTTTAAGTATGTAATAGCAGTTACAATAAAAGTGTCTGAACTTTATCTTCAGAAGGACTGAGAACTTCACTGGTATGTCTTCAATTACTGTGATATCCCTTTAAAGGAATCAAGAGCAAGTAGTACCATCCCTTGGGTAGAACTGATAAGAAAGGGAATATATAGGCTAAGAAAATTTGAAAAGAAAGAAATAGAGCAACCTGTCATCAGAACTGGAACAAGACACTTTGGCTCTTGCTCCATCAACACTTTCTTACTTGGTGCTTTTGGTACCTTACCATTTTGGAAGAAAGACCTTTCCCACGCCCAGCCCACTGATCTTTCACTCTCTGGTAAATAAGGTCTTTGTTCAAAATGACGCGCCCTCACACTCACGCTGGTGCTGCTCCGCTCACTGTGCTATCTAAATATTATGCAATGAAATGACTAGACTTAAGTTCCAGCCCCAGGAGATAACTTTCTAGTAGCTCTAAGGTAATCTGAGTTATAAAGGAAGTTGAGTATTAATTATAACACTTGTCATTTTAAAAAAGTGGTGATGGTGTGTATAATTTTACCTCATTTTCTCATTTGCTACTGTTATTTAAATCATTTCCCAGCACTAAGTATGTGCATAAAAGATGATTGTTCCCAATTTAACCTTTTAAATAAAATGAATTCTATTAATTAAGTCATTACAGTTCTCTCTCTTTCTATTATGTTTATTCATTTATCTTCTGTCCTAAAGACAGATATCTGTGTCGGTGAATATTTTGGTGAGAGACCCTTAATTTTTATGCCTATCACTCATTTGGAGTTTCTACACTGTTTTTAAAAATAGCATATGTTAGTGTTGTAAAGAATTTCAAATTGTCAATTAAAATAATGATAAGTATGCCTACTAAGAATAATACTCAGTATGCAGCCAAAAAATTAAGAAAGTACCATGTTTAACCTAACATGACTGGGAAATTTACAGTATGTAAATTGGCTTAGATTTAATGGGATGACATGTCTGTTTAAAAAATACAGGCAAAAACAACAAAATTCTACCCTTCTATGAATCTCTTTTTCAGAATGACTGTAAATAACACCATATAGTCTGACTATTATATTTTCTTTGCTTTCATCCTCTACGAGATGAACTAGGAACTGGGCAAACTGGGAGGTGAACCCTGCCTCCCATGTTGGATTATCCGTGAGATAGAGTTCAAAGCACCTGGCACCCCACCTGAAGCACAGTGCATTCTCGATCATTGTATCCTCCTATTCCTCCTGAGCCCCAGCCAAGTTAAATCCTAGAGTCCACCACCAAGACCAAACTCATAATCTTTACCACTCTCACAGTTTCCATTTCTCAAATGTTTGTGTTATAGAAAATATATAGCTGGCACTGTGCTAAGTGCTTTTGTACATAATTTTTAATTTTATTCCCACAATTCCCTGCATGGTCATTTATTTCTTATTTTACATGGGGAAACTAAGGTTAAAAAGAGCTTTGTCGCTTGCCTGGTAAAGCTGGAATTCAACCCACATTTATCTCAATATTAGCTATCATGTTATTCTGCTTTTCTGTTTAGTTTCTCATCAATAATAATGATGATAGCTAATATTTCTCAAGCACTTACTATATGATCTTCTAGATACTTTGCATAAATCTACATATATAATTTTTACTTCAAACCTGTGGAGTAAGCCGTATTATCCTCATTTTAAACATGATGAAATTGAAGCACAGAAAGTTAAATTAAATTGCATACAACTAGTAAATTTCCATGTCAAGATCTTAACTCAGACCAGTGACTTTTCATCTGTGAAATGGGAATGGATATTTTAGCTTGAGCCTACTAAAATTGTAGAATTCCAAACATGTTTAATTAAATTATAGCCAACACTTGTGAGTACTGGTCACCACAGAAAGATTTCTGTTAAAAACATATATTCAGATAAAAAGGATAAGAACTTTCAACACATGGATGCCTGTCGAGTGTTTAATTTATGTCGCTGGCGATTCAGAAAATACAATAGCTCTTCCGTGACTCATCACAATCAGAGCGGTTTAAAAGACCGTGTTTCCCCTCCACCTCAGAGACACGCCTCAGTTTCTTTGTCTACAAAGAAAGGATAAAACAACACCTATCTTTACAGGCCATTGTGAGGATTAAATGAATTAGATGTAAATTGCATAGAACAGCCTGTGATTACAAGTACTCAGTAAATACTATCAACTAGTATTTTTTAATCATTATGATTATTTTCCAATATTTTTCTATTTATACAGTAGATTCCACTGTAAGAGTTTTTCGACTTGGGAAAGACAGAAATTGGCCTCCCAATCGGAGCCTAATAAGCACAAACTGACATCTCCAGCTGGAAGTACAAAGAAAGCTCCAACAGTATTTTGAAGCAGTTAATACCAGAAAAATCACAGACACACAGTGCTTTTATCTAGAAAATAAAGACATCACTAAAAAAAGAAGGGTCGGGTAGGAGTGAAATATCGATGTTTAGTAACTGGGTGAATGAAATGTGACTAGTTGGCCAAGGAAGGAGGGGCGTATTACTCTGAGACCTGCCTGGTTGTGGGGAAATGGGAGAGGTCCTTCTCATTAGTAAAGTTCCCCTCACCTTTCTTCAACCCTGGAGCACCAGTTTTATAGACTAACATTAACAGTGGCACATGGAGAACAATGACCAGCTGTTGTTGAATGTTAAAGCGACAATCCGTGCAGAGATGCTTCAGGGTTAAGACCTTTGCGTCTACGTTCATGAAAAATATTGCTTGACGGCTTTCCTGTAATATTTCTGCCTGATGTCTGAGTAACACCAGCCTCATAGAATGAGTTGGGATATATTCCTTCCTCTGAATTTCTTGAAAGAATTTCTGTAAAATGGGCATTATTTCTTCTTAAAAGTCTGGTAGATAGAATTCACCAGTGAAGCCATCAGTCTAAAGTTTTCTTTGTGAAAAAGTTTTAGCTAAAAATTCATTAATGAAACAACCTAGATGGCTATTCAGATGATCTATTTCTCCCTGTTTAAGCTTTGGTAATATGTGTCTTCCATAAATTTATCTATTTCATTAGAGCTGGGTTCATCTAAAGTTATTTTCCTCCACTTCTGAAGCAAGGTACCTCTTTATATTCTACCTGGTGTTCACAAATTAGGAAGTTTCTCGCCCTGGCTGTTGGAAATAGTGCCTGTTCCCAGCCCCGCGTGAACTTTGGACACTGTTCCCTTTTTACTTTGAGGTAGTTCTCTGCCATGCCAGGTCGCGATCATCCGTATTCAACAAAATACATGAGGGGCTCTTCTACAAATCTCAGAAGGAACTGTGTATCGCCCTCTCCTCTCTAGCTCTCTGCCCCACCGACTCCATCTGCCTTGGCTTCCCTGGACACCCAGCTGCATGCCCTCAAGCTGGGAGATCGTGGGGCTCTGCCTAATTCCCCTCCCTGCAGCACAGTCTGGAACCGCTCCACACAGAAAACTAGAGCAGTTGCCGGATTCACGTCACCTGTTCCCCATCCCTCAGGAGTGCTGTTCTCTCTTGTCTGATGTCTAACCTCTCGTTTCATGTTTTGTCCCTTTTACATTTCTTAGGGGGATGATAAGTCTGTTCACTTTTACTCTAGCCTTATCAGATACAGAAGTTCAGTATTGAATGTATATAGTGCTATTATGTTTAGAAGTTTTACTATGTATTATACATTTCTAGGCCCATGCATTTAGTTTCTCCTTTTTGCAAACATGAAAACAATAATCCAGTTTTTAAAAAAACTGGAAATACTGAAAATTAAAAGAAAATTAAATTATACTTATAGAAATCATGTG